GTATACATATATGTATAATATGACGTAGCCAACAAGCTTAATTAGCCTTTCGGTTAACAGCCTAGCTTAACAGCCTAGTCTTTTTACTAAACGCTGCTGTTAAATTAGCGACCTAAATGATATTCAGCTGATGTGTCGAAAACAACATTGCACCTATTTAGCAATGTCTGCGACAGTAGGTTAAGTTGCGGCTGGGGTAGCCATTGGACTACCCTAAAGCCGCGTACATTTATATAATATAGCACATAGCGCATAATAAGGGCTAATAAAGTTGGGACTGAGGTGAAGTTTTTTGTTACGCAATGTCATATTATTGAGAAGTTGCGTTTTAAATAAAAAACTTATCGGTTTTCAGAGTATTATATGAATTCACAAAACAATCCACTAACTCATATCATCCCGAGGGTGTCAAAAGTGGCGACATAAGGAAAATGAAACAGGAGATGGGCAGCAGCATCTTCCTGATAACAAATCAAAATAAAAAAACTGCGTTTGCCAACCCGCTTGCCACGCGTGGTAAATATGGCAATATCCTCCGTGAAGGAATCTATGAAGGAGGCCTATTTTCAGCAGTGGACTTTTATAGGCTGTAATTAACAAAACAATGCCTCAGTAGCTTGCTCCCGAATATTTTTCAAATGTTAATTTTTTTAACTCTTCTACTTTTAGGAATGTCCGCACTTTGGTTTATTCATTTCTAATCCATTTAATGTAAAATATAAGTAATGTAGAATCTCCGGTGGAGGTACGGTTGCCACCTAAGACAACTCGACCTGGCAACATACAACGCACGCACCCTGAGGACTGACGAGAAGATCGTGGAGCTGGAATAAGAGATAGACAAGTTATGCTGGCATATTATAGGATTATCCGAAGTACGAAGAGAGGGGGAGGACACGGTAATCCTCGAATCCGGCAACTTGCTCTATCACCGGGAGGGCGACCATCCGTCCCAAGGAGGTGTCGGACTTATGGTCCACAAGACTTGTGGACCATAAATCCGACACTCCTTAAGAACGTCGTTAAGATTTAGAGTGTGTCGACGAGGGTTGCGTACCTTATACTCAGAATCACCAAGCGGTATTCGCTGAAGATCATACAGGTTTACACACCAACCTCGGTACACCCCGATGAGGAGGTGGAGGAAATGTATGAGGATATCTCTAGAGCCATGCATTCCTCCAAAACCCAATATACAGTGTTAATGGGAGAATTCAATGCAAAACTAAGCACAAGAGAGAACGGTGAGCTGATAGTAGGGAAATTTGGAATAGGGCAACGGAACCCAAGGGCCCAGCAGCTGGCCGAACTCATGGAGAAAGAGGGACTCTTTATGATGAAATAAACTCTTCTTCCAGAAGCGGCACCACAGGAAGTGGACCTGATCGAGCCCCGACGGTTAAAAATAAAATTTTTTAAATTAAAATTTTAACGCCCACCATGCCGAATGGCTCGGTTCACGTCTAACCGATCATGCGGGGAGATCTGTTTATAACTTTGCCTTGGCATATGGTCTGACACAACTGGTTACTTCGCCTACGCGGATTCCAGATGTGGAGGATCATACACCTTCCCTGTTGGACCTTCTGCTGACCTCTCATCCGGACGGATATCAGGTTTCCGTCGATGCCCCTCTCGGCTCTTCGGACCATTGTCTGATCCGGAGTGTGGTGCCACTCACGCTCCCTTCGCGGTTGCGTTCTGCAGGTTGCCGCCGTGTTTGGCATTACAGGTCGGCGGATTGGGACGGAATGCGGTCTTTCTTTGCATCCTACCCATGGGGGCGGGTTTGCTTCTCACGATCCCAGCGCTGTTGCTGAATCTGTCACTGATGTGGTGCTACAGGGAATGGAACTATTTATTCCATCATCTATGGTACCCATCGGAGGCAGACCTCAGCCTTGGTTTGGTCGCTCCTGTAAGACTGCATTACGCAGTAAGCAGGAGTGTTATCAAGCCTGGGCCGCGGCTTCGGCGACTCGGGATGTAAACACCAGCACACTTAAAAAGAAGTATAACTTCGCCTCCAGGTCCCTCAAAAGAGTTATTGCCAAGGCAATGTCAGAGCACATAGGCAGAATTGGCGAGAAACTGATTCGCCTTCCCTCGGGAACCCGTGCATTCTGGTCTCTCGCCAAGGTTGTCCAAGGGAATTTCTGTAAGCCATCACTACCATCTCTGCACAGGGAGGATAACTCACTGGCCCATGACGCAAAAGACAAAGCCGAACTTTTATGCTCCCTTTTTGCGTCCAACTCGACTCTTGATGACGGGGAGAAAACACCGCCGACCATCCCGCGGTGTGAGTGCTCCATGCCGGATGTGCTGTTCTCACAGCGCTCGGTTCGCAAAGCACTGCTCTCCCTGGACATCCAGAAGTCGAATGGGCCTGACGGAATCCCCCCAATTGTGCTGAGGACGTGTGCTCCGGAGTTGGCACCGGTCCTAACGCGTCTTTTCCGGTACTCCTACTCCCAAGACGTAGTCCCGAATTCATGAAAGACAGCTTTAGTCCACCCCATCCCTAAAAAAGGCGACCGCTCAGACCCATCCAACTATAGGCCTATCGCGATCACCTCCTTGTTCTCCAAAATAATGGAATCCATTATTAACTGCCAGCTCATCCGGTACCTTGAGGATCACCAGCTGATTAGTGACCGCCAATACGGTTTTCGTCGGGGTCGATCAGCTGGTGATCTTCTGGTCTACCTGACCCATAGATGGGCGGAGGCAGTAGAGTCTAAGGGGGAGGAGTTGGCCGTTAATCTGGACATTGCGAAGGCCTTCGATCGGGTTTGGCACAAAGCGCTTCGTTCGAAGCTCCCTTCCTATGGGCTTCCCGAGAAATGGTGCAATTGGATCACCAGCTTCCTTGCAGATCGGAGCATCAAGGTCGTTGTAGACGGTGCATGCTCTGACTACAAGCCTATTAACGCTGGTGTTTCACAAGGCTGTGTGCTATCACCAACGCTGTTTCTTCTGCATATCAATGATATGTTGCTAACTGGTAACATTCATTGCTATGCGGATGACAGCACTGGTGATGCTCTATACACCGGCCGTGCCAATATTTCTCGGGAAAACGTCGCTGAGTATCGGAACAAACTTGTGTCTGTCGAGTCTTTGCTGTACAAAGTCTCGGATTGGGGGCGACTAAATCTAGTCCAGTTTAATTCTCAGAAGACACAAGTTTGCGCGTTTACCTCTAAAAAGGACCCCTTTGTCGTATCTCCTCAGTTTCAAGGCACTCCCCTTCTTGCCTCAGCCAGTATCGATATCCTCGGAGTCGACATATCGAGTGACGTGCAGTTTCGTGGTCACTTGGAAGGGAAGGCCAAATTGGCCTCTAAAAAGCTTGGCGTGCTCAGCAGAGCGGGACAGTATTTCATGCCGGCACACCGCCTGCAACTTTACAAGGCGCAAGTTCGGCCTCACATGGAATACTGTTCCCATCTCTGGGCAGGGGCTCCCCAGTGCCAGCTCCTTCCACTTGACCGTATCCAACGCAGTGCTGCTCGAATCGTCGACGACCGAGCCCTTTCCGATCGGCTCGATTCATTGGCACTGCGAAGAGATGTTGCATCCCTTTGCATTTTCTTTCGCATCTACCATGGGGAGTGCTCTGAGGAATTGTTCGGATTAATCCCAGCCGCCAAATTTCACGAACGCACATCGCGGCAGAACTCCCGATACCATTCACACCATCTGGATGATTGGCGGTCTACCACTGTGCGATTTAGAAGATGTTTTCTTCCTCGCACGACTTCCTTGTGGAATCGATTACCATCAGCGATTTTTTCGGACCGATACGACTTAGGGACCTTCAAGAAAAGAGCGTACTCCTTTTTAAAAGGCCGGCAACGCATCTGCAATTCCCTCCCTGGTGTTGCAGTTGTTCTTGGGCGGCGGTAGTCACTTACCATCAGGTGAGCCGCATGCTCGTTTGCCCCCTCTCCTATAAAAAAAAAATGTTGTATTAGATGCATGGGCTGAAAATCATTCAGGCCGCTAGTTAAACGGCGTTTAGTAAACAAAGCTAAGCTGTTAAGCTAGGCTGTTAATTTAAAGGCTAATTAAACTGTGACGTATACATTGTCTGCGTCGTAGATAGCTTTATATTTGGAAAGAATTTGTGGTAATCCACACGCTCAACTCAAAGAACCACCAACTTACCTTACAACAAGCCTTTTTAAAAGTAAAAATAATATGAAGAAGTCTAGTTTATCCACAAACGAACATAACCTTATATTTAAATTTGTAATTTAAAAATATAGGACAGAAGGAAAAGAAAGAATTCACATCACTCGATTTTAGGAATAATATCTTATATAATCATCATCAACATTTTTTAGTCAATAGTTGGACATAGACTCCACAGAATTTTTGAGGTAGAAATCGAATTATGGTATTTATATTAAATTTAGTTAGCAAGAACTATTTCATTAACTTACACTCAAATGGTTTTCAAATTCATGGCACAACTCTTTAAAAGAATTTAAGAGTTAAGTATGTATTAACCTTCAGTGACGGAGAGCTCTTTTCAGGTCAATGAAAGTAGGGTTTCGGTTATTTGTAAAATCATTGTTTGCCAATATATGACTCTATTGATTTAAACTTTTCATTTAGGATTCATTATCATTAAGGTTTGTTTGAAACTAATAGGAGTTATTTTAGAATTAACTTAACAAAAGTTATTTTGGTATTAATTAATTTCTATTTGAAATAAATAAAAAATACTAAAAAAGGTATAGGCCGAAACAGTTGGTGAAAAAAATAAGTTTACGACACGGACGCTCGCACCTAAAAGGATGTATTTTTTAGGATAAAGTCGCAATTTTTGTTGTTCCAAATTTTCAAATACACTTATTAAAATACAATCTGGAAAGCGTCGATGTTTGATCATGTTGTTTATTTTAGCATGCCTAAATATTCAAAGTAACGTCGAACAATATATGTCCAAAAATAAAATTATGACGATTCTAAACTTGCACTACCTTTCCTTATTCACAAGGGTGACAAAAAAGCGGCTTCGAAACCACTTTTTGGTTTGGCCTTAAACTGCACGCCACTTCGCAAGCATGTTTTGTAAAGGAGTTAGGTTGATTAATCTAAAAACAAAAAAAATGCCTTTAAATATGTATATATATTTGTATTTATTTTACATGAAAGACACATTTTAATGTATAAAACAGAGCCACAAATCATATTTGCTCCACCATAATTAATGATATCAAATTACTTATATAAATTTTTATCTGCATTGCATTCAATTGATATATCATTGGGGCATCGATATAAAAAGTTCGTGGTTCCTAACATTTTTGAATGCTCTTGGTCTTGCATCCCATTGCGTTTAAATGCCGATACAGGCAAATTTTGTACCTGTAAGGATATCCTTTATTTACTGATATGTAAAAACTGCCACTCAGCAAATGACTATACACACAAAATAATATTTAAGTTTTTTGGGGCTTACTGTCGGAAAAAACCAGGTTACCTAGGTATTTTAACCAGGTTGAATCAACACAGTCTATGGACAGCCTAACTTGTGAATTGTGAATAAAATTAATGGCAATTATTGTCAATTGTAGAAAAATTGGCATATTTCCTTTTGGGAGAAATATACACGGCTATTTTCATAAATATACGCTTAATTATGTAGAAGACGTCAATACTATAACTATAATATTTATTTTCTTATAACTGAGGTAATATTTTTATAGCACAGCGCTATAACTTTTTGATTGTAGTACGTTTCTTCGTTAGTTCAATAGGTATAATAGAGTTATCGGTCAAAACTGCGGCGTGGCAACATTTGCGTAAATAAGATATTCCACCGCCTTTTATAAACTTTTGATCTTGTAGGCCGTTTCTTTTAAATGCTGATGATGGCAAACAGTTTACCTGTCAAATTTATTACGAATTTTAAATTAATTTATTTTCAGATTTAGTTTTGAAAACACTTAACCTATATATTGATATGGTACTAATACACCTGGATATTATTCTACATTATTGCACTTAAGCTTATCGTTATATCTCGATAAGTAAAATTTGTATTCAGTTTGAAATAATGTAACGTTGCTGTTTCGTATACTGAGAAAGGTGACCCGGTTATGGTTTAACCGGGTCACTCATTCTACCAGGGACTCATTCTAACACACACAAAAAATTTCATTAACATCGGTTGAGCCATTTTTGAGATTAAGGGAGACTAACGTACAGCAATTGATTTTTATTTATAGAAATATAGGAGATAGAAGAGTAATATAAATAATTATTTTGTGGGTAACATCTTTTTATCTTACTCAGTTCAGTTTTGTTAGTGTTCAAACCTATGAATTCTAGAATCGACTTCGATTGTTGGAACTTACTCCAGATGATACTTTAACATTTTTGTTCATTTGCTTCACAGGAAATATTTCTTGGGTTATTTTTGGGTAAATTCTGCGTATGGGTTCTACGGATGTGCATATATAGTGTTTATCATGTTTTTTCATTGCACACAAGTAACGAATAGCTCCTCTATATCCAACAATTTGGTCTTGCATACCATTTCTTCGAAAAGCGGAAGTAGGAAGCCTACCGTGTACTTTAGGAACGTATTGTTCCTGAAACCAACAGATAAAATAATACTTATTTTTTCACCGCAAACTAAAAATTTAAACTACATTAATTGTTAAAATAAATATATTAACAAACTATAATTATATCCGGTAATTCAAATTAGGCAAAATCCGCGTGCTAAAATTTCTAGATTTCTATTTGTAACAAAGAACTTGGTTGGAGGCTGTTGGTTTCAGGTATAATAATAATTAGATTCATTATAGAATCTTTAACTGAGAATAGTATATTTATCATCATCATCATCATCATCATCATCAATAATATGAGATGATGGTCATACAAGTTAAATTTATTGGTTTTTGGTTGAGTTTTCTATTGTATCGAATTCGTATCACCATCGAGTGACTTTGTAAGACATGATATACATATTTCTATGCAATTTTATCTTGTGCGAAAACTTGTGCTTTGGCCACAGAACATAATTAATACTTTACATAACTGTCTAAAAAATGTGTGCGTGAAGCCAAATCGGGTTTACGGTGCGCTGTGGGAGAGACTTATCACCGTCATCATTACTACAGCTCTTCACACATAGACCTCCCTACATTCTAGGAAGAAATTCCACAAAGCACGGTCTCAAGCCACCTGCATCCATTCATCGAATTCCTGCTTATCTTACCAGGTTGTCACTCCATCCAGTGAGGGGCCGCCCTAATCTTCGTTTACCGGTACGAGGCTGCTACTCGAGAGCCTATGTCCAGCAGTAAACCATTGAAGGCGATTTTAAATACTTACTATCTATATTATTGTTGTGAATCCAACTCATTCACATAGTTTGGATTACATAAATTACTCAAAACGTATCATATATAAATTGTCTGATCTTGTAACTTACGATTCGACCGTCTTCATATCGATAACATGGCATAATATATTTTGTTTTCACTGGGGTATCAGTAGGTTGATGACAGGTTGGGCAATATTCCTGCGAATGACTATCGAAACATCGCTTATGCTGAGATCGAGGTTTTTGAGTACTCTGTAGATGACACGGATCGCAATCGTCGCAATGACTATCATTATATACTTTTTTTAGCCGCGGCAGACTTTGCTGTGGTTTCTCACAACAGTAAATTATTTGCTGTTGGTTACAAGTTGGCACACAGGGTATACATACAGGTGTACTTTCACAAAATTTTACTGGAGTACAAGGCGTGAAAAGAATCGGTGTGGTCGAAAATTGTTCGCAATCATTGGAGTAACAACAATCCATTTTTTATTAATTTAGGTAATATGCAATTTTTATATTAAATTTTCTTTTATTTCTTTATTGGTGACAGATACTCGAAAATTTTATAAATGGTCTACATGTCAATTCCATTTTACAGTATGTATTTTTTATTATATTAGTAATTTTAGAGGCCAGTAATATTTTATCGTCCTAGGTAATAAAGAAGTCTTTATAGTGTAACGTAGTCTGTCTTTTTTCCAAGAGCCAATCGATATCGATGTAAGCATCCAAATACTCTATTGAAATATGTATTCGTTTATTTCAATAGCATCACAAATCATCCAGGCGGGAATGGGAGTTCCTTTGCGGAATTTATGGTCTATCGGATGTAATAGCGGTGAGTTTCGAAATCTGTGTAAAAACAAACTCCTTAAAAAAGTAAAAAGACTTCAAAAACTAAGCTAAGCCTCTGAAGTATTTATTTCTTCGATACACCATGTCTTAGCCAATGCTAAGACATGGTGTATCGAAGAAATAAAAGAAAAAAACTTTTAGTTCCTTTTCTGAAGTTACTAGAATTAAGGAATATTACAAGTTCAAATTAACGAGAATGTCATCTAAATAGCTACCTTATAAACTTTCACACTTAGTTTACCTTTTTTTATAAAAGAGAATCAGGGCTTAACATAAAAATATTTTAAAATATTAAAACCAAAGGCTGTGAGACTTGAATTTATATATTTAAATAATTTAATTATTCAAGAAATTTGTTGCATCTATCATCAAGTTTCACCTCGTGGGTGTTGTTAGAGAATGTAGAAAAAGCCCGAAATCCCCCGATCGTAACAATGCTAAATTACATCTACTCAAAAGAGAAACAGCTCTGTTAAAGACAGACAGAGAGACAAACTTCCATCGAAGTAATTCAAAAAGTGTTCAGTTATGTTCAATACTTCAAAAAGATAGAGACGTTCTGTTCTCTAAGCTTTAGGCTTGTCGTCATAGTCACGCTTGAGAGGTATATTTAAAATCATAGTCACGCTTTTTGCACGTTAAACTTAACTGTGCTGTTTTTATCACCAAATTTATAAATCGAACATTTATAAATTTGGTGATAAAAGTACTCCCTTTGAAGATTTATAAGCTCGAATTTTTTATTATAGATAGTAAACCATTGTATAATAATGTAAGAATAAATTAAATATAATCTAAACAAAAAATATTTCTAATATAAACAAATACGTTTTAGAATGTGATAAAAATAATTACAACTTTAATCGTGTCCTACTTCTTACTACTTCCACTTCCATTATCCGCCCATGGTCATTATGGGGATTTTGTCATACTTGCCACGCGTGGCAAGTATGACAAAACGGAATGGCAACCGAAAATTTTCTTTATTTTGAGTTGTTGTCAAAAAGATACTGCACTCCATCTCCTGATTCAGTTTCCTTCTTTTGCCTCTTGCCACAACCACGAGACAATGTATGCTAGTGGATATTCTTACACACCCACTACACGGTTTACCACTTATGGGTTGCACACTTTTTATTATCGACAGAATATACAATATTTATTTTAAGAATAAGACTAATAAGCAAGCACACAGTTCATTTGATGGTAAGAGGATGCTGCGGCCCATAGATGCCTACATTTATGCTCGATTAGGAATCAATATGTAGATGTGTTGTTATCCCTGAAGTGTAAGAATGCCTCGCTACCCGTAAAAAGGGTCTCCAGTTATCTACACTTACCATACGAAACAAACACAATAAAGCTGCTACTTCATATTATTTTATATCATCCCGCGGATGTCGCAAGAGACGACAGAGGAGAAACAAATCAGGAGATGGGCACCCGCATCCTCCTAATAAAGAGTTAAAATAAAAACTGCAGTCGCCATGCAGTTGCAACCCCGCTCGCCAAGCGCGGAAACTATAGCAAATATTTCTCCTATGAGGCAATCTATGGGGGAGGCCTATGTTCAAAAGTGGACTTCAATAGGCTGTTACGGAACGGAATATATAAATATATGTACAGGTTGATAAATAGATACTGTTTTTGTTGGTTAACTTCCAGTGGAACATTTTCACCAGGACAGAGCGTTTGCCATGTCTGCCTTGCCTCCGTAGCAAAGCATAAGTCTACTTTATTATTTAAAACTATGCTACATAAGTCACTGACACTATGCTCGGAACCAAGGAAAGAATGGCTCCTTGCACCTAGCACCGCTACTCCCAACACCACGCGGATAGTGCTGGGATTAGTCGTGACGGGGATAGTGCACGCAATTGAGGGAGGGCGGGAGGTACTTCTTCATACTAGGTAAGACACATCATTTTATTTTATAACGCGGATATTTGCGAAGTAAATTTTTGTAAAAGCTTTAATATAATGGATTTCCGCAAAGTAACGCCTGATTCTATTAATTATATTTTAAAATAGTGAGAGCTATGTGGGGGTTTAATTTATACAATTAATCAACGTGGTATAAAAACTGATCAAATTTTGTTTTTAAAACAGGTTTAGTACTATCGAAAAATAACGGGGCACCTGGCAGGCATAGTGATTCCGTACTGACAGTTTTCATTCCTGGAGAAACATGATTGATAATTTGAATTCAAGTGTCTCTATGAGAAGTAGATAAATTATTGGAAAAAAATATTTCACATTTATTGCTATTTGGTTCAAGACCAATATTTTTAAAATTTCGAAAAATATGAGTAAGATCACTGAGGACGTCATCTGTTCTACCTCCCAGTGTACCGTCTTCCAGGTACCAGACATTCTTGGATTTCAAACTTGAAATAATGGGTTAATTCCCAAACTTAAAAGTGCTGGACCCAGTGGGTCACCCTGCTGAACACCGACAGCAGAATCGATAAAATGGTTTTCGTAAAACAAGTTATTATTTTGACTATAACATTGCCAAACGTAATAATAAATTACAGGGTTATTGTTAGCCACTTCTTTCAGCAAGGTTACCCTATCGATAGAGCTAAAAGCATTCCTTAGGTCATCCTTCACTAGAACATCTGCATCAGAGTTTGTTAAAAATGTACGCACTGAATGTACCGTCGCCTCACAGCCACCTCTAGTGCCAAAGCCTAGTTGAGTAAGCTGAAATTTGGTCTTAACGTTAGAAATTATGTGCCTGCAAGCTAATTTTGAAGTTAAGCGTCGAAATGTGGAACCAACGGTAACAGGACGGATACCGTTATCCTTTTTTTGAAGGCACATAATCTTGCCTCATATAAGAATGGAATAAAATTTGGATTAATATTACCAGAAAGCATAAAGTTACATAATTTTGTAATGTCTTTAAGAAGTACTCCGCTGGCGTCACCGGCAGAAGCGCTTACAAGATCTTTAAGATGTTGAGGCGTAATTCCGTCAATGCCGCCAGCAGATCCATTTGAGAATGACATAATTTTTTTTAACATTCGACTTAATTATGATGTAAACTTAATAATTTAAGTAAGGAAACTTGTAGTAATCCGTTAAATAAGATTGCTCTATTTAGTGGCCAATATGTTTATGAGGCTACTCTCTCCTTTATCTGTCCTTGAAAAATATAAAGTAATGATAAACTTATCATCATTTTAGCTTTATGAATTTAAGAACATAATGATCATAAAACCGAATAGACAAATACGAAGGAAATATTAAAGTGCACCAAGTGTCTGAGGATACATATGCACTCTCTATTCTCTCAATCTCAGTATGTTAATAAAACGGTCACCCATCCATGGACTGACCATGGCAAATGCAGCTTAATCTCGCAGATCTATTTATCCGCGCAGCTATTACTTAACCAAGATTTCCTCTTCTCTACGACTAACGCTGTAGGCGATGAACCACGCTATTAAGCCCTCGGCACACTGTCGTCGGCCACTAAGCATGAATCGGTTATCGAGAGTTGTGAGTATCAAATACTATGGAATTTATAATATCCTGGCACACTGTACTCGCGCCTCATGCGCATCTAGGGATGCTTCGGGAGCAATACTAAATATCTATACCTAGCTACGCTAAAATTTTTACCTTTATAACTTGGGCATATAATTCGAAGCTCCGCTCAACCCCTAGGGGAAAATAGCGTGATGATATGAATGTTGTACTAGTGTGACTGTCAAGTGCGGGTGGTTAAGTAAGGTTATACGTTTTTTTGGTTGATAAATAGATACTTAGTTGGGTTGACCTGTCATTCAAAATAGGTTTCAAAGTCATGAGGTTTGCTATCCTTTTGTATTTTGCTATATTGTCATAAGGAATTTATTTGTCACTTACAAACTATGTCTGTCTATTACTATCCTAAGTCAATGTATTATAATAAAAAGTGGTAAATTTAATAAGTTTGTATAACTGACTTCAATATAAATTATAAAGAATAACTCGAACACTACCACTCAAAACTTGATCAAATTTGTACGGGACCACATGAAAAGAACTAGCTTTCAAATAAAAAAAATCATCGAAATCAGTTCACCGAAAAAAAGTAATGAGGTAACACACATAAAAAACATACAGTCGAATTGAGTAGCTCCTCCTTTTTCAAGTCGGTTGAAAATATATATCGTTGATAGAGATATTTCATTGCTCATAATTGAGTTGGATGCCACTTTGTACGAGTAGCATAAAGCTACAGAGATATTTTTGGACGTTTTAGTGACGATAAGTAATAGAAAATAACATTAAAGTAATTGTTATGAGGCTGACGGCTTTAATACATACATATTAGAACGGGGAAGTGGGCGGTGCCCATGTAGTTACTAACATGTCAATTCACAAACATAAATGTCAACACTTCTCTTGTAACTTCACAGTCGTTGCTCAATTTTCGTGTCGAGCTTTGCTGATTGCAGAAATCGGCATTTCTGAATTTATTTAAAAAATGCCGATTTGTGCAATGATTACCTGCTGGAAAAACCGTATGTGGAATTTGAACATAAGTGGTATATCCTTTGACCAGTAAGCTGAAACTTTTTTTATAGGAGAGGGCAAACGATCATACGGCTCACCTGATGGTAAGTGACTACCGC